TGTGGCCTGCCCATAGGCCCGCTCAAGGCCCGCCCAAAAGCCCGGCCCACGCGAAGCCCAGTGTTATTTTTAATGAAAAATAATAAAATTTTGGTAGAAAAAATTTAAAAAAATAAAAAAAATTGTTTAGGCCCGCCTAAGCTCGAACCTAGGGGCCCGGCCCACTGTCCCGTCCATAGCCCGAATACCCCTGGGCTTGGGCCTAGGCCTAGTTTTTTTGGCCCGTGGGCCGGCCCAACTCAGCCCGATTTTTTGGCGGGAGCCCGCAAGGCTCGACATGGGCCCGGTCGGGCCCGAGCCCGGATGGGCTGGATCTGGCCAAAATTAGACCTTTAGTTATTATCTATATAATTGCAGGATATGTGGCATTTTTCTACTCATTTAGAGGTTATGAGAAGTTATGAGTCGTTAAACATATATAAAAAGATGATGGAGGACAAAGTGGAGAACATGAAGTATGAATTAGAGGTTAAAGTAAGTTATGGAGATATAGATATGAAGTGAAAGATCATGGAGTGTGAAGTGTGGGAGATGGAAGGATATGGTAGTTATTAGGTAATTTTTTTCTACAAATGTTTGCTTATAAATAGTAATTCATGGCTACATTGTAAAAGACATCCAACTCAAATCAAAGACAATTGATTTCTATTTTTTTCTTGTCATTTATATTTCTTGCACTTTATTTTCAACACTTCCTTTTTAAAGCATATGAGTAGAGGTAATTTTATGCACTTCATTTTCAAAGCATAGGAATAGGTTGATTGTTTACTCAATCACCCTGATTGTTCACTCAATTATCTTTCTCTGTCTCCCTCCTTCTTCTTTTAATTCTTCTTTTCTCTATACTTGACAATTTTGAAATCCTCTTCATTGAGGCAAAAGAACCGTCAACACAATGGCTTGATAATTGGTTTGAATTTAATTTGTAAGGATTTTTCAATCATTGTTAGCACGCTCGTATTTATGGTATTTTCCTTCGTAGAAAAAATAAGCCAACAATTATATTTAAGCTTACTTTGGCAACTAGGAAAAAAAACTAGCTTATTGACTTATTGATTTATTTGAGTTATATCACTTCTTTACTTTTTTTACACGTTTTTTCAAAATAAATAAGTAAATAAACTACCAAAAAAAATCACTTCCCAAAATAAGTCTATTTAATCTTCAATGACATAACGTTTAGAATAATAATACAACATACCCAAAAAAAATTATTAAAAAATGAGCATCTAACAACCATAATTATTTTAGATATAGAACACATCCCACTTTCAAATCTATACTATTCATTTCATTTGAAGATAATTTTTGGGACAAAGTTTCACGATCCCTAAAAAATGAGCATCAGATCAGTGGCCTACCTTCTATGTGATAACGCATACATATAAAATATGAAAGTAGATGAAATGTCATCTTTGTTGCTTGATTTTATTGATGCAAACCATACGTGGCTTGAATTTTCTGAGTTTCTTCCCATGCCTTCTTATCCAGACATTTTTATAACATTATATATATAGATGTTGTGACTATGCACTACACCATTTAGCATGCCATTAAAACTCTCCAATCAAAGGCTTAAATTTTCTTGGGTATAGAATTCGATCATAGAATCGGATATAATTCTTTTATATAAGAGGAGACCTATATATTTAATGAATTTCATCTCATGTGAGAGAAATGTGTTCGGTTCTATAATTGCATTATGTGCAATTTAAATATTTTTAGAAGGTTTAAATAATATAGCATGGCAATATATCGGTATCGGAAATCCTAAATCCCGATACAGCCTACATTTGAAACCCTGATCAGAGTACTCCCAATCTATAACCAATAATAAAATATAAGAACCCGCAAGGAACAGAGAATGGGTTCATAACCAAAAAAAAATGGGAAAAGACAAAATGGAAATAAAAAATTTCAGAATGTGTTTTCAGAATCACTATGCCTTGAGGTGATAAGGAATGATTGAAATTTGTTAGGGGTCAGTTTTCAAATATTGTGATATTTGTGTGGGGGGTCACATAATTGAGTCCTGACATAAAGCAGTTCCTTATCTTTGATTTTGCATTGGTTCTGCCTGTATTGTTGAATTTATTTCTCATATCATTTGATTCTGTGATTTAAATTAACTTCTTGCATAATATCAAGTGAATTTACAATGTATCACAAGTTAGTTAATTCTTAATTGTTATCATCATACATTAGAAGTACTGCAATATGACAGTAAAAGAGGCTGCAAACAAGAAGCATTTAGATGTGCCGGTGAAATCGAATGGCTCAACTATGCTGTTACTGTACTTTAAGCTTGAAATCTTCTTATTTTTAAAAAGAAATTCAGTAGTATGTTTTGAGAAACAATTTCAATCATCAAAAAAACAAGAATTAACTCCCAAGATTGAAGTGTATTGCTCAGCTCTCTCTCCATTTCATTCTGTTCTTAACTTTGCATAACCTGTTTTTCGAGCACCAACCGAGTTACTCGGGATGAGTTTTTTGGTGAAGATCGTGTATTTTAGTAGGAAAAGGGAGATATTTCTATCCAAATTTGTATGTAGGTAACAAAGATTTGTGAGGCCTCAAGTTGCAATGAACAAAATGCCCCTAGCCTTTTGATGTAGTGCACACAGCAGAAAAGTACATGGCAGCCGAAACAATTGTAGGTCCAATAAGGCCTAATGGGCCCATTTGTCAAGCCTGTTTCGACTCAAACTCAGAAAACTTCCAAAGATCCCATTCTAGAAATCTCATGAAAGTCTTGACAAATGGGCTCATCGGGCCTCATCGCAATTTTTCTGTTTTTTTACGGGTCAAATCAGTTTTGGCTAAATGGGCCTATTGGGTGGGACTGAACATGTACTCCTCATGGATAGTACCTGAAGCATCCTAGGACTTGGGATGTCCTGAAACACACTGAAATGTTGAGGATTGGTAAGTAATATCAATTCTCGAACTTAATTTTACATATAATTTTTTTTTCTTTTCAAAATAATTTTTTTGGGGGCTGACATGAGATATTACACGTCATTAGAGCGTGAGACAAGTGTCAGCAGAGGCTGTGATAATACAAAATGGCTTTGTGAAAATGTCATCACACATCCCCCCACTTTCAACTTTCAAGGATTCAAAAGGGTGCATGACCCACCATGCACCACCTTCTCACCCAAAAGAAGCACTCAAAGTGATCATATCATATCCCATCCCAACCAAAATTAGAGGGAATGGGTCCCCCACTCAGAATCCATTACCACCTGCCCCTCCCCGTGCTGCTTGTTTAAATAACAATACTAATTACAGCCACTGATACTTGCAGCTGACCTTAATTAATTGTCCCCACCACTTCCTCACACTTAACTAACTCCAAAAGTAGCATTATATATATATATATAAATATATTAAATAACACAACCTATGTCCGTAACGTATAACCTTCAACCCCACAACTACATAGAAACTATGTGCTATACACCCTCTCAATTGTTTGAGGAGTTTGTGAAGTTTGATTAGTAATGTACATCTCATTATGTGACTTGGAAGGAGTTTGGAGGTTGTTGTGAGGCGAATTGTTTTTTTGAATACTAAACTGATGTGGTGTGAAAAATAGTAATAATTTTAAAACTTGTTGATTTAACAAGAATATCGGAAGTGAGATTCTTCTCTAAACTCATTAATTCACAAAGAATATTAAGAATAAAGACTCAACAATGGTTGATTTACAAAGAATATAAAAAATTGGAACAAAAGAGTATAACACTCAAAATATATTAATTCTTAAAACTAAAAAGCTTTAAGGCTTACATCCATTGTTTATAAGCAAAATACAAACCTAACTTAACTAGGAAACAATCAGAATTGGCAAAAACCATAATGCAATACGGAAATAAGAAAATATAACGAAAATTACCCAAAATGGAAGTATTGCAATAAAATAAAGAAACTACTAATATATGCTCCCACGATCATGGTAGATTTTTCGGAATCGGATTCTAAGGCCTATACTAGGAGTAATTGAAGTTCTAAATATTTCAAAAAACGACAAGTTCGCAAAATTGACTACCTAAACAATTGAATTTGCCCAAAATTCGCAGTGGTCCACAAAATATGAATCCTTCTTAAAATCACGTTTTTCATCAACCAATCAAATTTCATGCGATTCTAAGTTCAACCCATATTTTGCCCTTGCCTTGCCTTTTTAATCCAAGAATTATACGAGCATAGATGCTATATCATAAATCCTAGCATACATATTGCTGTTTGCATAGCTAGTCTATTTGTACTTCCCCCTCTTTTGAAGAACTTTCCCTTCTTTTCAATATAATAGCATTGGTGTGAGTTATGAATGCAAGCAATATTGTCAAACTATGTACATTTGTGTGTTGTAATTTTTTTTAGTAATGTTAGAAACTCTAATTGTTTTATCAAATGTTCTACAAAATATCTTACATGAGTGTGAGACTGACATGTAGGGTCCCACATTCATGTGAGACGTTTGATAGAACATTTGATAAAACATTTGAAATCCCTAACATTTTTCATTTTTCTTATTTGTGATTGATTTTTCTTGCTATTTAATGTTTGCAATTTAATTTGCACATTCAATGTGGTCAAAGTTATCACTTAATATGATCAAATTACAATAAAATGTTGTCTCTCTCAATTCAATAAGATTGGATTATAATACAATATTTTGATAACAAAGTATTGTAATCTAACCTTCATATCTAAATACTTTTATTTTTTTGTCTCAAAATATTTACAATTATAAAAATTTTAAAATATAAAAATCTAAAAATATATCTAATAATTATAAATATTTTGAGACAAGAGGACACATAACCACATTAATTGTGGGCACACCACATATTGACGATCCTCTAGAGTTTTTTTTTCCTGAAGTTTCCTAGAGTTGTGCATTGTGTGGTTGAGATTTAATGACAAGTCACATCAATTTTTCAATATTAAATCTCAACCTAAAAATATATCTAATAATTATAAATATTTTGAGACAAGAGGACACATAACCACATTAATTGTGGGCACACCACATATTGACCCCATACCAGATTAGCAAAACAAAAAGGTCAAGTCACTTTTTAGGAGTGGGGGGTTGACACTAATTACTAAACAATGTTTTAACACTCACTGTATTCATTAGTCATGACTCATGCCAACCTTTCCCACCACTCTCTTTCATTGATTCTCACCTGAAAACCTAATGAGGGTCTTTACCCACCTCCCTAAAAATCAGCAAAGCTGAGTTATAGTCATCAAAGATGAAGATCATACATACTAAAACTGACTCATGAAACTCTGTTTGTTCATTCTTTTCATTCATTTCTTGACACATGGCCACTCCAACTCTGATATCAACATTGGCTATAGGGTCACCCTTGCCGTCCCTATGGAATATAGCTTGGGTTTCATTGGAAGAGCTTTTATAATGGAGACTGACCAAATGGCACCAAAATTTAAAGTTGCATTAAATGTTGAAGCTGTGGAGGAAAAGTACTCATGTTCCATTGATGTTTTGCTTGGGGATGTGAGGGTGTGGAGTTCTGGCCATTTGTCGCGATTTTACGCGACAGAGAAATGTGTAGTCGAGCTGACGCAGGGCGGAGATCTGCAGTTGAAAGGTCAGAAGGAGCAAGTTGGATGGCGAAGTGGGACTTCTGGACAAGGTGTGCAGGTAAATTTTATTTGGAAGTATTAGCGAGGATCAATATTTCGTTTTGTTTTTATGTTTATTGAAACGATTGAAACATTTTTGTTTTTTAAGAAATTGAAACGAGACGTTTGTGGAATACTGAAATTTCAATGTTTCTACTAAAACATAATCAAACGGACTGAAACTCTACAAAACATAACAGTGACTTGTTTCGACACTGATTAAGAATATTTGACAATGTTCATTTCTATTTGTCTCTGTTTTATCAGGGGAAAAAAAATAAAAAAAATCTGATATTAAAGAAAAGTACTGAATTTAATAGAAAAAAAAACAGAAAAAATAGAGAGGGGACGGCAAAAACAAGCATGATTGAGTCTTTGTTTGTTTGTTTGTTTTTTTTTTTTTAATACTAGAATTTTGTACTATGTAAATGTTTTTTCTGACATTGGCAAACCTCTTTCCCAACAAAGCCTATAAACATTTTGTTAATGAACTTCTAATATTCATAAACCTCAACACACGTTTAATTATTCAATTATTTCGAATGTATCAACATTTAGATATGTTTTAGTTTTTATTTCCAAACAATTTCATTTTTTTCCCTTTATTTTCTTTACGTTTTTCTGAAACGTAGTTTCCAAAATGTTTCTTTTTCCAAACTAATGCAAACATTAGGCCACTAATGTTTCTGCTATTGAACCTGTATTTCTGCAGAGACTAAACTTGCTAAGAACTGGCAATCTAGTGTTAGTAGATGATCTCAACATGATCAAATGGCAGAGTTTCAATTTCCCGACAAACATAATGCTTTGGGGACAGAGATTGAACGTTGCGACTCGCTTGACTTCTTTCCCCTCCAACTCAAGCAATTCATCATTTTCCTTTGAAATCCAGAACGATAAGATCGCGCTCTACTTGAACTCTGGCAAATTGAAGTATGCCTATTGGGAATTCAAGCCTCCTGACAACCAAAACATCACATTTATCAAAGTGGGTAATAAAGGATTAGAGTTATTCGGCGACAAGTACACAAAAATCACCCAGATTCCTTCAGGCAGGCTTGAGCCATTGCGGTTTCTGGCACTGGGGAACGAAACAGGCAATTTGGGGCTTTACTACTACTCACCTGACACGGGTAATTTTAAGGCCTCATTTCAAGCACTGAACAGCACTTGTGATCTTCCACTAGCATGTAAACCTTATGGTATATGTACCTTATCCGATGTGTGTTCGTGCATGCGATTCATAACACGAGATGGGTTCAACTCTGGTTGCAGCAATGGAAGTTCTGTCGGGTTTTGTAGCAAAAATCAAGTTGAAATGGTTGAGTTACAAGGTGTTACTAGTGTACTTAAGGGTACACCAGAAAAGGCTAAGTATGTTAGCAAAGAAGTGTGTGCAAATTTGTGTTTGGATGATTGTAAATGTGTTGCTGCATTGTATTCAAAATTGGGAGATTGTTTTCTGTATGGAATTGTTCGTGGGGTGAAACAGGTTGCGTGGGGGAGCGGGTTGAGTTACATGGTTAAGGTGCCGAAGGGAACGAGTGGGAATCATGGGAAGAGTTCTGGTTTGAAAAAATGGGTTTTTGTGATTGTAGGAGTGGCTGATGGATTGATCATCGCGCTTGTTTTGGGAGGGACCGGGTACTATGTGATTCAGAGAAGAAAGAACTTAGGGGATGACAACAATAGTACATGACCTTATATGATTCATTGTTTCTTGTGAGAACTGTAGATCAATATACAATTTTTTTGAGTGGAATAGAAAATTTGCATCAATTATTTTTAGAAAAGAGAAAATCTGAGGCCCATAAAGGGACATGAATTATCAGCCAAGAATCATCTTTGTGCAGTTTGATTGTAAAGCTAGGAGAGAAGGCCAAGAATGTGGTGGATGCGTCAAAAGTGAGGACCCCAGGTTCAATTTATTTGTTTTTTGTTTTGTTTTTGTCAATGCGGTCCTTGGGAAGTTACCTGCCTTTGAAGGAATTTGGGCGCAAGGGAATGATGTAATATTGGAAAAAGAAGAAAGAATCAGAGAATAAAAAGAAAAAGAAAACCACTGACATGTCACAACAGTGACAAATTATACATTCTGTCAAGTAAGTTTTTATCAGTATTTGAACCCAAAAAAACAAAAAAAAAAAAAAAAAACCCGAGGTAAGCTCATTCCATTGATTACTTCTATTTTTATTTTTTAATTTATAAAATTCACGTACAAAAAAGCATTATTCTATGCTCTTAGGCGCGGGTCAGTTGTAGCAACGAAACCTTCAATCCGCTATCCATCCGTCAGATTAGCGGATTGGAGAAAATCAATCCGCATCCGTTCGTCAATCCGGCAAATGTGGATTGAGCGGATTGGCGGATGGATATGAATCGGTTTAACAGTTTAAAATTTTATAAATTTTCAACATAATTCAATTTGTGCACTTCCTCAAAAAAAAAAAAAAGTATTACAATCAATGGCTTAAAAAAATATTACAATCATTACATGTCTCATCCAAAGAATAGAAAGTTTAAAACTTTAAAATATTATAATCACTGCATATCTCATCCACATATTACAATCACAGTATGTCTCATCTATATAAAGTATAACAATATGTGGTTCTTAAAATATAAAAACAATTCAAACCATCAATACCAGTAGTAGAGATTGTATGCCTTTGTATTGTCACACCTATATCTGTTTTTAAAAACAAAAACTAATCAGCATATATCATCTTGTTTATTTATTATTTTTAGAGTTAGATTTAAAAAAAAATAAAAATAAATAAATAATACATTTATTTTTTTCAATTCAAAAAATATATTCAAGTTGAAAACTCTTTTTCAACAGAATATATTCAACAAAATATTTAAACTTTTTTTCAATTGAAAACACTGACAGAATATTTAAACAAATTGAAAACACAGTCTTACAAATTATTTGGAGTGCTGGCGGTTTGGCGGTTCGGTTTCGGTTAAATGAACCTCAAATCTGTCATCTGTTTAAAACTAGGCGGATTGAAAAAAATCAATTCGCAACCGTTCGTTCATCATCATGCATCGGTCCAAAATGCGGTGGATTAGTTCAATTCGGTCAATTTGGATGGATCGATATATCCGCTGCTCATCCCATTGCTCTATTACTTGGAGAAATTTTGATCCTCATACACCAATTTAAAAATATTCAAGGCCCACTCTTTTCTCATATAACCCAAAACTTTCTCATGGGTTAGCCCAAACATTAACTATTCCATTTATTTACATAGCCCAAATTTCTGTTCCTGCACTCATTCCATGGAGATCCATTTTGGTTTTTGAAAATTAAAATCCAAACCAAAGTCTACAAAGACAAACCATAAAATTTGTACTAGCCACTTCAACAAAGTTCATCAAACAAACACATGCAATTGAAACCCTTCTAATTTCAGCTCCTTGCAAAATATATGGACCTGAATCATCTACGGTTCTTTTTTATTTTTATTTTTATTTTTTTAACTCAACTTAAAGAGTTCTATCCTGAAAATTCCCTCCGGTCGATAATCTTTTCTTTCCCTCTCTGTTTGTGTACGTGTGACTACAGCACACACGCGTTGTGTTGTCTCTCCTGCAAGCTCTGTGTGCATGCGAGTACGCAAAAACAAAATGGAATTCACTTATTTGCATGTGAATGTACTTTATCATGTTACAACATATACGTGAGAACGCTACAATTTGCTTTTTAGTCTTCTTGCAACAATAATGTTCTTAATTTCACTTTATGAGAATTTTAAAAAGAAGATTTGTATGCCAAGTTTCAAGTTAAAATAGGTTAAATTGTCCGGCTTGGATTAAATAATGTTATGGTAGGCCCACCGCATTGTTTCATCCAAGCCCAACATCAACTTCAAATTTAAAGTCATCATTTTATTATTTATGTTCTTTCCATTTGAAAAATAAAAATGACAACACCTTTGTCACCAAAAATAAAAATGATTGATATTTTTTTAGTCTTTCCATCATTTTTTTGTTTGTTAAGTGACAAAATTGAATCAATTTATGTCTATGCATATGATGTGTTTGAACCAACCATACAAGAATATCATAATTTTGTTTAGGGCTTAATTAGCTTGTGAATAGACTCTATTAAAAATAAATCTTTCATTACAAAAGAGGAGTGACTCTCTCTCTCTCTCTCATGTCAGTCATATGTTTGGGAAATAATTACGTGTTGTCCTGAGAGACATTAATTTCCAAAGTTGTACTACCTAAATCATATGATTAGACACCCTCTCTAATTGTATCTTATTTGCTCATTTTATTTTATTTTATATTTTTGGGTGCTTGACTCAATCAGGAAAATGGGTGGACAAAAGTGATGTCTGACAGATTAGTATAAATTTTAATTGTTATTTTATTTTATTTTATTTTTTGTAATAGAAGGACAATTGTGTATCGATTATCAATGTAAATAAATAGTATCATTTATTGTTATTATAAGTCATATATCACATAGGACATATTGTGATATATACAGGGAAAATATTATAGTTAAAAAAATATCACGTTGGTTGTGTGTTAAAAAAATAATTATTTTTTATAAATATTTATAATTAAAATTATAAATTTTTTTATAAATTTATATACATATATATATATTTTTCTTGACATCACTGGATGTGATTACCCTATACAGTAACCATTTTGTGGTTATTGTGCATAGGAATGTGGGTCATACAAAAGGCATTTTCCTTGTATATGTTAGTAGCCTTAAAGAATATATTAGACCACATTTTTTTTTGTTTTTTAATAATGTGAAAAGATAAAAGATTTTATTTACTAGAGGTAATAATGAGATAATTGAGATTAGATTTTTACTTAGTTAGAAACTTGTGATTGTTAGATAGTGTAGAACTTGATAAATATTGAATACAAATCACTCGATCACAAATATTTTGAAATAAGAATATTGTTGATATTTTATATTTCTGCCCAGCTATCCTAATATTGTGTATTTATAATTGAAATATCACATTTCTCTGTGTTGTATTGTAACTATTTTCAAATCATAATAAAACTATAACAACGGTAAACATACGTCCTATTATAGGTGAACTAAGTAAATTTGTGTTATTGTGTGCCTTTTTTGGTTTGTTTGTTTATATTTTATGTCTCACTGATTTTGATTAGATATATCAATTCCTAATTGTGATTCGAAAATCCAAAATAGTGTAAGGAAAGTTTGTTTTAAGAGTTTTGTATTGGTAGTCGACAATTTCATATGCCATCTTATTAGGGCAAAGGTCACCTGAGGACTTCATGTGAAGAGTGGGAGAAGCGTTCATATTTTTGGTAGAGGCATGAAGTTTTGTCTTGCAATCTTGATAATTGCCTTATACTCAAATAGACGTCCTCACAATCACATGCTAAATATAACTTCTGCTCTGATTTCACAATATGCCACTACTGAAATTTGTGGACAAAAATTGTGGGTGCCTTATTGTACTATTCTCAGTTTTGAACCCACAATTTCAAGATTCTTAAGCCGAATCTTAACCACTGAACTAGTAGCTCTGTACATTTTTAATATTATTGAAGAGGGCTTTATTTAATACAACTCAATTATTCTTCACACATTTTTTAAAATATGGCAGCTCAAAGTTTGCATGAAGGTAGTTGGAGCATATTCAACTTCCAAGAAGTAGATTGCTTGATGCAATATTTTCATATTGCAAATAAGTTTTTCACATCTTTAAATATATAAAATATTTCATCTCTATTCATGTTTGAAAACTTGACTCGTAATAATGAAGAGAAAATAAGCAAAACCTCAAGAAATCTGTATTTCTTCTCTTTCCCCCCTAGGGCATAAGAAGAAATTTGGATTTTGAATCTTCCATTGATCCATCAAGTAATTACTCATTGAGGGTTAATTGAGTTTGTGTATGTGCATCGTTATGCATTACCATAGAGCCTATCCATGAATGATTATAAAGACTCCAATAATGTAATTACTTGTGATCTATTTGACATGAAAATGGAGTACTTGTTTCTAATGCTATGAGAGCATTGTACCTATGTCAAGCTTAGTAAAACAAATTAAATATTCCCATTCATGTTGAACATTTGAATGCGCTTTGCACCATATGAATAAATTTCTCTGTTCTGTCCATGTAAGACATAGAGAAACTATGTATATATTGCATTTACAAAAATATATATTTTTTTTATCAGCAAAAGAAAACCTTTATTGATGAGTGTAGACACCCTATTTTTGACCGACCTTAAGACTTAGACGTCACTGATTGAGCGCTCGGTGATGTTGCATGTTGTGCTCGTTCTGAGGTTTCAGAGTCTCGGCTGCGAGCCTTGCCTCCGGACTTCGGGGCTCTTTTTTTGTGCCTTGCCTCGGTTTGCGAACCAGGTCCTGTTTTCTCTGTTTTCTCTTCCCGAAGGGAAAGAGAGGTCCCATAGACCATCTCTCAGTGGCCGTAGGCTGGGCCGTAGGCCTTTTTTCCCGTTTGGAGCCCGGTTTTTGATTTTCGGAGCCGTCAGCCGTGTGTCTCGGTTCGGGACCGCTTAACTCCACCTCCGTTTGCTCCGGTTTTTGGTATACACCTTATTTCCTCCCTTTTGAGGAACACTGTGGCCCGAAAGACCAACTTTGTGGTCGAATGCCACCTCCGGTGCTTAACAGCCCATTTTCGGGGCCCCGGGCCACGCGTTTCGGTCCCCGAACCTCCGTTTTGCATTCGTTTTGGTTCATTTTTGGTGGAGACCTTATTTTCATTGTTAGGAAGCTTGTAGGAGGGTGGGAGGCCAGCAATTGTTCTGAAAAGCCAGTTTTATTTCTTCATCGCTCTCCATCGCCCGTTTTCCTCACTAGAAAGCTAATGTTGACCACTCCCGGGCCACTTTCTTTAGCCTTAAACCCCATATTTGTGTTGTACACACCTGGAAGGCCACCAATATGAATAGGCCGGCCAGTAATTGTCTCTGACCCTTTTGAACCCCTCTAAAAAGTTGGCTTTTCTCTCTCCTAGTTCACATTTTTTGGGTTTTGACCACATATTTGTGTTGTGCACTCATGGGAGGCCACCTTTTTGAGATGGGAGGCCAGCAATTTTCATTGACC